TAGATTTGCATTTGCTACAGCAGCTTTTACCTCAGCTTCTGCAGCTCGGTCAGCATAACTTGCTGCTTTGGAGGCCTTAGATGCGCTACTGCGATGGGAGGATGCTCTGGAAGGATGTTGAGAGCCGGCAGCAGAGAATTGGCACAAGACACTGGAACCTGCTTGCAATCTAGCCAGTTTGGGATGGAGGGAGGAGGCTTTCTTAGAATGGTGGGATGAGGCTGCTTGTGATGGAAGACTATGTCACATGTGGCCTTCTCCCTCGGTATTTGTTCCTCCTGTAGCACATCGAAGAGTGCTGCCTGGAGGGAGTTTTTCTCTTCCCGGATGCAGTCTTCGCATTCTTTGTTCTCCTCCTCGAAGCATTGAATGTGTTCTTGGAGCTCTGGGTCTTCCAGGTTCAACTGTATGTACTTAAGCTTACTTTCACTGTCTCTCCACCGTGCGAGATGCTCCTCTATCTCTTTCTGCATTAGTAGGAGGCTCTTGAGGGGCAACTTGCTTTTGGAGGTATTGCAGATCCTCACCAGCTCCATCCATGCATCTGCATGATGGTGATACTGCCTGGCCCAATCCTCTTTGAAGCGTGCCACGGCAGGTGTGGTAAGCTTCCTATGCTGTCTGAGGTCGTAGGCTTTCTGAGGTATTGCCATGTCTTTGGAGGTTTGGATGTCCGGATGACATAGTACTTGAGCATGTAGGTGGTGCTGCACAATATGGCGGCTTTTAGGGTGCGTTACGTGCTTGCTACACAAATTGGCACAAAAGGAGGCATCGTTGCTGAGTCTGAAGACGTGAGAGCAAAACGCAGGGTTGCCTGTTAGTGTTGCTTGCTACACAAATTGGCACCAAGGGAGGCGTTGCTAAGTCTAGAGACGTGAAAGCAAAACGCAGGGTTGCCTGTTGCTTGCTAGGTCTGGAAGACACTGTTGCTAAGCACAGGTTGGGCTGCAGGTAGTACTGGAACCTTGCATTAAGTTGCTTAATGTTGCCACAATAATTTTAAAAAAGGAATTTTCATTGATTAAATTTGGGAAACTCCCTGTAGTTCTTATAAAAATTGCCAGTCAAGTCTTTGAATTCTCTGGGAAATTTCTCCTAGACCACCAGATGGTGCTGTGGGCTGCTTTGCTTAAGTCTGTAGGTGGGGTGAACCCCAGAGGAATTTATTGTTTCCTTGCTGGAAGAAAAATCCATCAATCAAATACAACACTCCAAAGGTTTGCATGCAGAGTTATACTGTTAAAAATTGTTTAGTAAAGATAGGGGAACATGAAGAAATTTTAAGTTTTTTGAGCAGAAAGAGAAATTGTTCCTTTTTAAAATGCTGCTTGAATTAGCCTTGTGTCTTGGGAGGTGGGGAATGGGCTTCTTTGCTTTGAAGATGGTCTGTCAGTAATGCATTACGACCCCCAATAAAATGGCCAGAGTGGTTGTAAAAATAGCTGGAGAGGCTTCTCTTATTTCTTTTGAGCTGGAGAAGTGCAATTTCTTTGTCAGAGGGCACAAGACAGATCCAGCAAAGATCTGGCAGATCTGGCTGAAAACCGTACTCAACGAGTAGTCCTTAATGGGTCTACATCTACATGGAGGGAAGTAAGTAAGTAAGGTTCTGTCTTAGGCCCAGTACTCTTCAATATCTTCATAAATGACTTAGAAGAGGGAATAGAAGGAATTTACCAAATTTGCGGATGATACTAAGCTGGCAGTAATAGCCAACACCCTAGATAGAAGATAGGCTGAAGATCCATATGGATCTTGACAGACTTGAACACTGGGCCCTATCTAATAAAATTAAATTCAAGGTAGAGAAAAGTAAAGTCTTGCACTTAGCAAGAAAAAACAAAAGTACACATATAGACTGGGTGAAACCAGGCTTAATAGTAGTAACTGTGAGGGATCTTGGAGTCTTAGTGGACAACCAATTAAATATGAGCCGACAGTCTGCGCTGGCAGCCAAAAAAGCCAATGCAATCCTAAATTATATTAACAGAGGGATTCAGTCAACATCAAGTGAGGTACTAATACCACTCCATAAAGCTTAGGAACATCTCACCTAGAATACTGCATCCAGTTTTGGTCATCACACTATCAAAAAGACGTTGAGACTCTAGAACAGGGAGTCAAACTAGATTCCATTGAAGGCCACATCAGGGTTGTGTTTGACCTCGTATGGGCCAGGTGTGTGTGGCCTGAGTGTGTGTGGCTAGCTTAATGTCACTCATGTCAGGGGGGCGCCTATGGTGGCCCAAGCACTCTGCCAGCGAAAATGGGATCCCGATTTCCAGTTTAGGCTGCAACAGCCTCCTGCAACCCTCTGTCAGTGAAAATGGAGCTTGTGGGGTCATGCCCAGCCCTCGTGAGCTCCATTTTTGGCTGGGCTGGCCTCCTGCAACCCTCTGCTTGGGAAATTGAACTCAAGAGGGGATGCATACAGCTTTCCTGAGCCCCATTTTTGTTGGTAGAGGCACCATGGGCTGGTGGTGATCCAGATCTAAGCACCCCCTCCCAGGCTGGATCCAGCCTCCAGGCCTTAGGTTTGACACCCTTGCTCTAGAAAAAGTGCAGAGAAAAGCAACCAGGATGATTAGGGGATTGGAGGCTAAAACATCTGATGAATGGTTGCAGGAACTGGGACTGGCTAGTCTAGTGAAGAGCAGTCTTCCAATATTTGAGGGGCTGCCACAGAGAGGAAGGGGGCAAGCTATTTTCTAAAGCAGGGGTCGCCAACCTTTTGGACCTCAGGGACCACCAAACTCATAATTTTAGATCCTAGGGACCACTAACTGGTTTTGTGGGTGTGGCCTAATTTGTGGGTGTGACTTGATGGTCATGTGACTGGCTGGGCATGGCTTGTATGTAAATATTATAAATATTTATATAAATATTGAATTTTTTATAAAAAAAGAGCAACTTTTACCCAAAATGGGGCAAAGCAGACAGGCAGATTGAGTTGCTCACAGAATCACAGATTCATTCAGAAATCTATCTGCCATTGGCTAGCTCAGTCTGTCACATAAAATTTGCTTGCAAGCAAACTCATAACATTTGCTAGCAAGCAAACTCACAAAATTAACTCACAACACACCATGTATGTAAATATTGAATTTTTAATAAAAAAAGTAACTTTTATCCAAAATCAGGCAAAGCAAGCAGATTGAGTTGCTCATGAATCATTCAGTGATCTATCTATCTGCCATCAGCTAGCTCAGTTGCTTGCTGTGAATCTGCACTAAATTTGCTTGCAAACAAACCTTCAGTCCTAAGGGAGGTTCAGCTGTGCTTAGTTAGAAAGCAAGAAATCCAACCATTTCCTGCTAATCTAAATCTCCTGGCACAGCAGAACAGATGATGGTCAGAAAAAGGAAAAATAGCAACTTAGCAGACAAGTTTGCCAGGTAAGGAGTGGGCGGGGAGGGTTCTCACGGGCCATGTGGGCTGAGCAGCCTTGTGCTTCTGCGCAGCCTGGATTAATTGCTTTGCTGGGTGCTCTGGGGGTGAGATTTCTCTGTGGCCCACCAAAATTTTCTCATGGCCCACCAGTTGGCAACCGCTGTTCTAAAGCACCTGTAGGCCAGACAAGGAATAATGGATGGAAACTGAACACAGAGAGATTTAACCTGAAAATAAAGAGTAACTTTCTGATAGTGAGAACAATCAACCAATGGAACACCTTGCCCTCAGAAGCTGTGGGAGCATCATCACTTGAGACTTTCAAGAAGAGATTGGACTGCCATCTGTCAGAAAGGGTGTAGGGTCTCCTGCTTGGGGGGGGGGTTGGAGTAGATGACCTACAAGGTCCCTTCCAACTCCATTAATCTGTTAAATTTACCCTAAGCACCTTCACACTAGCATTTAGACATCACCTGGCAAACCAATATAACCGTTCCCTGCATCTCTGTAAGATATGTACATATATGTGTGCATCTCTCTCTCACACACACAAACACATACAGAGATACATATGTGCACTACCTACACACAGGAAAGCTTTCTTTGACTGCCAAAAGCAGGCCACCCTAGCATTAGCATTTACATAAGAGGGTGCCAGAAAAGTCATGACTTTACAATTGAAGTGTGGTTCTGCTGTGACATTAGCACAATTCGAGATCACCAAGAATTTCTTTCAAGTTGTTCTAGCAGAGCAAATACCAGCTGTTGAGTTACTTTACAGTTGGGTTTTTTGGCCAGAGAATAAATTGCTGAGCCTACACAACTTTGATGAAGATTTACTAGATGTCAAGAGATTTCTGTGTGCGCAGCCACACAAACGACAGGAGGGAGTGTTATCATACGACCGTTCTCGTCCACTCTGCTTTTCTACCTGCTGTGCGATTTGCTTACTAAAGGGACAGCTTTGAGAAAAGCAGGCTGCCTTGCAAAGCGAGTGAGCAAGCGGGGCTGTCCTCTCTTGACAAGGACAGTTGGCATGTGTGACAGCTGCACAGTGGCCGGGGATTATCTCTCTGGCGCACACAGGCGCCTTTGCGTGGCAGGCAGACAGGAAGCCAAAGGCAGTATCTCCCGGGACTCGCGCTGCAATTTTCGGCGCGCCCGAGAGAGGCCGCCTGAGCGAACAAAAGCCTCGGCTTTTTGTATCCGTAGCTCGGCCGAGGTTTCGCACAAAGACGTTTTTCCTTACCGTTTGACCCAGCCACCCCCGCCTGCACTGAACTTCTCCTTGCAATCAGAACAGCGTACGCGCGCAGCAGCTGGTCACATTTGCTTCAAAGATCGAGGAGCAGAATGTCCTGTCCCGGCTGCCTCTCGAGTGTGCTGTGGCTGGTTGGCTAACCGGCCGCCTGCCTACCTTCCACCGCTCGTTCACCCCTATTTGCCTGGTACTGCCAATCAGCGGAATTAACAACGGCAAGCTCCCATTTGTAGGTCTTGGCCGAGAAGAAAAGGCCAGTGTGTGGCCAGACCCCAGGATGGCTGAACGCCAGCGATTACGGGTTCCCGCTCTGGCGCTTCCCTCTCCAGTTGAAGGTGGAGTTGGCTAGTGAGCTCGTTGGTTGCAAGCGGCTTGCGTGATCGCGCGCAGGATTAGGGCTAGGGGCTGAGAAAGAAGACTGAGGCGCCATTTGCTGTCGCTACAGTCCACCTCTCGGGTGTATGAGAGCGAGTGGCAGTCAGGAACCTCCACCAGGCACACTGAGGTGGGGAGTGGAAGGGGCGGGGCGGGGCGGGCTGGTGACAATCTGCTAGGTGGAAACTTACTAACTCCCGGCCAAGTAAGAAATGCGGGTAGTTTCCAGTTTCCCTACATAGTAATAGGAAACCACATGGCAGAAAGTCCTCCTCCCCTCGCTCTATACAAATTGCTGGCTGTCGCAATATTTTAAGGACGAGATGACCGCTTGCATTTCCTAGTGGAGACGGTCGTTTAAAAATGAGAGGGGGAAGGAAGACTGCACCTAATCTCCCCAAAGAGATCGTTTGACAGGACGGTAGATGGGACAGTAATACCGTATACATTCAATAAAAGAGCCGCTTCACATAAACTCCCATTCTTCTCCGTTTAAAGCAAGTTGGGCGGTGCTCCCAAGCCCCTAGTGTTAAATCGAGACCGACACAGTCAACCTCCCGGCTAATCTCCCATATGTTAATTGAATGTTTTTATGAATGAATGCGTCCGACGATACCCTTAAGGCAATCGGTGTTGCCTACCTCTGAGAGGGGAACTAGTAACGAATCAGACACCTTACCTCAGACTGGAACTTTTTCTAAAGAGAAAAGTGTGAAAATAAAGCTTGAGGCTTTGGTTCCTGATGAGCGATCCTAGGTTAAAAAGGATGGAGGTGTGTGCTTGAGAAAGACAGACACCCCCCCCCCTCTTTTTCCCGCTGATTGTGTTGAACTGTCTTGTGTTTTAGTTGGACAGGATGCAGGTTAGTTATTAATACTCTGGCTGCATGAGTGCTTTGTCAGTGGATCCCTGAGATGATACACTGAGCTAACAAAACTCTGGCAAAAATTAAGAGGCTTTCCTCTGCAAACCTTCTTATTGTTGATACCAGGTTTCTGTGCTCAATAAACAGGAAAAAATTAAAAACCTGAGCCTGCCCATCCACCAATTTATCACTGATAGGCCAAGTGTTTTTCGCAATGGTGACTTCCTCTGAAAATCTAGCACTTGAAAGCCACACTGTCCATCCTTCTGGTTTGGTTTGGGGTTTGTTTGTTTGTTTGTTTGTTTGCCAAGAATAAGTTCTCATATGAATGTTGTTCACCATTTGCAGGCAACACAGCAGCAGTGATAGCCTCTGACCAAAAGACTAGACAAGCTTGAAGTGACAGGCGCCGGGATGTCCTCACATCTGCTGCTCTTGAAGGAGCAGCCGATTAAGAGTGAGGTGTTTCCTGCTTTCTCAGTAGGCTTTGTGCTTGTATTTGTACAGGAAGAGCATCTTGACTGTAGGTTCAACCTACAAACATTTCTTGGCAAGACAGATAATATGGCTGATTACTTATGTCTGTTTTCCAATTGTGTTGATGGAACTAGGTGGCTGAAAAGGAAGATTTCAGATTTGGAATTTGCCTGCCAGGGCTCTTCAGCCTGAGTCATATTTGGTTATCTTGATTAGGCGTGCTGGTGTTTTGTTTTGTTTTTCTGTGGTATTCATTAGCAATAGGATTTTCTATAAGCAATGCTTAAAGAGCATTATGTGTCAGAACATCTCATCAAACTTTGAGAAGAAATTAGGGGCCCATTATTAGTTTATCTACTTCAGTATGAACCCTGAAAAAATTCAGTGTGAATAAAAAGGAAAAAATACTTGATATGCCAGTGTAGCATTCAGTTCTCAGGTTTGCAAAATAATTAAATGCTTTCTGGGTTGATTGAAAGTAAATTAAATATTATTTGCCATAAAGTTAGAGATAGAAACGTGGCAGACTTCAAGATTATCTGGTAGGTGTCTTGAAAGATGTAAATGGGATAATGGTTAATTTTGACTGTACTTGTGTCTGAATCTTACTTACAAAATAGATTATATACAACTTAACTGGATGCTACTAGTATTTATTTCAGAATTTGATCAGAGAGCAACTTCCTTTGAGTCAGCTTTTAGTCCATATAATTTTCTTTTCCTTACAACACATCTGAATAAAGTATATTAATAGTCTTCTTGTTCCACTCCTAGTCTGTTGTTCAGAAAGAGGATGAGAAACCCACATATTACCAGCAATGCAGAGTTTCAGAGTAATCCTTAGGGACCTGATTGTTAATGAGGTAAGTAGATTTGACCTGTAATAAAACATTGTGCTGTCCTGTGTGATATATTGGAATCACTGTAACATTAAAAAGAGCAGTAAGCAGCCTTTTCAATCTACTCAAGCCAAGAGAATTCTGATAAATACTTTAACAGTTTCTGTGTGAAAAATCTGTAAGCCAAAGTCTTTCGAAATTTTGATTCTCACTATTAAAAATCATTGGGAATGAGATTATCTCAGGGTCAGAGTGAGTGGCTTCCACAGCAAGACACATTACCAAAGATGCAATATAATAAACAGATTTTGCTACCTGAAATGAGCAAGGTATATATAGGCAAAATAGGGAACATCTGAAACATAATAGGCCCGTGTAAGTTCTACTGAATACAGTTTATAGCTACATAGACAAAGAATAACTCCATAGCTGCATCATACAATCCGATCCACCCTAATCCTTCCTTAAGAACCAGTGCCAAATATTTATTTCCAAGCAAATACAGTAGATTTGCTTAGGGCTGCAGTCCAGTCCCAACTGAATTCTGTCTGATGAAGACTTTGATGAGAATTGGAAGCTTACATCACCTTTAGAAATTTTACTTTCCTTTTTTAAATTAATATTCCATGGGTCAAACCAAACAGCAGTCCATATCAGTAATAAGAAATTGGGGCTCAGATTTCCTAATTGTAAAACCAGGCCAAGAATAAGAAAACTGGCATGGAGACAACAGTAGCTTTCATCTGGGAGAACAAACAAGGTGGTGCAACATTAATAACTGGGCCTTGCCTGTCTTTTAATAGCTGTTAACATCAGTGAAGGCGCGAGAATAAAGGTGTTGAAAAGAAGTGGAGTTTCAAGGGGGGAGCTTTTTTCTTTTTCTCATATGCACCCCCACGCTTTTTTTTCCCACCAGGCAAGGCAGCATCTGCTGTATGTTGCATAACGATCTCTCGGTTAGTCTTTTCAATGCAACCTTATTTGCATCAAGGAAGAAAGGCGAGTGTTTTTCGGCTCTCCTCGCGAGCCCTCCCCCACTCTGCCTCCGAGCCCTGATTTGCAGACTCCTCTGGCGGGAGAGCTCTCCCTAATTACAAGATCTTTTCCAACAGGGGGCGTGTAAACCCAGCAGCAGTTTGACTTCAATTCTGCCTTGGCGACATTTAATAGATTCTGGCAGCGTTTTCACTTACAGTCCTTCGTTAGGAGGGGGAATCGGGAATAATTACCCAGCAATAAAATATCTCTCGTGCACAGAACCTCGTGGCGCGAGTCTTCGCTAAGAGGCTATTACTCTTGTCAATATTTTTTAGAGAAATATATTTGATTGTGGTTCCCTCCCCCTCCTTCCAGCCCCTACACACCTAACAATTAGAAGAACCGGTGCGCACACACGCGCACGGGCACTCCTGCTGCGATTTCTGTGGAATGTGTTTACTCTCCATTTGCATCGAAGCGAATGATACATTTCATGTCCAGTTAAAAGGGGCTTTATAGAATGGGGATAAGGAGGGAATTCTTTTAAATTGTCCTAAGTATTAAATGTCTCACTTCCAGAAAAACTGCGCTGATTGGGTGATTTGATTGAAGCACTGTGGTCTTTTGCTCTAAGCTGGGATAATTGGAATAAGAACATTTCGGAACCTCTTTTGTCATGGTGTTATTTCTTATATTAGGCCCACAAATTATTGGTAGTTGTGGGATTCAGGGTACTAGGAAAAGTGCTTTCACTACTTTCAACCTTAACCTCAATCTTCCCAGTGACTGGACAGCCTGTCCCCAACAAAAAACATCACCTGCAACCCCCCTCCCCAATTGAAGAATTCTTTCTGACTTAATGTGTGTATTTCATTTCATGAAGGAGAGCCAGGGAGGCATGTTAATCTGGAAGGGTCAGAGCACTTGTTTGTTTTAAATGGCTGCCCTGGTAGAATGGAAGAACCTCTCCCCCCTTGTTCTCAAGAAAGGGCTTTTTGTATATTCCTATCTAATAATTCATTAAGAAATGTGATTAAATAAAATGTGATGTGTTTAATTTTGATTTATATGTTATATGAATGTAGCCAATTGCTTGTTATGTGATGAATCCAGTTAAGAAAGTGGTGTTTTAGTATATGTTATTGATCCAAGCTTAGTCTTACATCCTTGAGGTAGAATTATTGTAACTTCCCAGTTGGCTTGAAATCTGGCATTGTTTGTCTATATGATTAATGCCTATCTACAAGTCTGCAACAAAAATCTGAAGCACCTTTCTGCCCCACCTCATAATGGGTGATCCATTCCAATATGTTTCTGGCACCAGTATCTCTGCTGCCTGTTTTTCTATCCTCTGCTAGAATAATGCTTGTTCTCCTGAGGTCCAATGCAAACTACATCAGTTCAGATTACTCACCAGGATCCAGCTAGCTGCCTGATGAATGTAAGAAGAGAAGCATAGTCCAGCACCTACTGCATGTATCAGATAGGACACATTCAGCATGTGGACAAATATAAATGTATGCATTCATCACATTTGTAGGAACTGGGAGGAGTGGCTCAGGAAACCTGGGCAGCAAAAGAACTGCCTTCCACTAAAGTATCTGGGCCAATTTGGGATCAGCTACCATAGTAGTTGCTTCCCAGTTTCCTCTGGTCATTCCTGCTCTTGACCGGGATTACCTCACCCTCCTTACATTGACATGCTTGTAGTAGCTCCAGGCCACTGGCAGACCTTGTTCTGTCAGCAGCAGCAGCCTCCGCCTCTCAGTGGGTTCCCTCAGCCTCCACCTCTCAGTGGGCTCCCTGCAAATGCCGAAGGCTGACATTCTTCCTCTCCCCTTCCCACCCGGCCATGAAGTCGATCGATCAAACAAATTATATTCAATAAAAGCTAGCAGGAAGCTGAATCCAGGCAGCGCAGCAGCTGCCTACAGATTTTGGAAAGGCTGGCAGATGATTAAATAAGAGGAAAGGAGGCTTCCCACACAAACTGATTTGTTCTGACTTCCAAAGAAAGTGGGTGCAATGGAAGTGGCCTCTAAGACTAGCTCTCTGGCTAGAATCAGCCTGCATGCTTTCTTGAGCTAAATGGGATGAGCTGCACTGGATGCCAAGTTGTCAGTGGTCCCACATGACCATAACACACCAGCACTGGGAGCACATTTATTTGGGGAAAATATTCTTTCTGGACTTGAAGAAGTTGAAAGTTAGGAAATTGGAGGCTTCAGATACCTTAAGTTACATTTTATGATCTTCTTTTCTTCAGCACCTACTCAACTATGATTGATTTTGAAAAAGCTAAACAGAATCGAACTTGGGAGATATTTGGATAGGAGATCCCTAGGAACATCAGCTATGGATTAGACTAGAAAGTCTAAAGAAAGTGCTTGCATGGGTACATATATACACACATACACACATACATACACACACATGTGCGCGCGCACACCAGAAGAAGACAATGACAGACCCTTTTGTATTGTTGCCAAGAAAATTACAGGACTATGAGGTAGTCACCAGAAGTCAAGCTCAGCTGGAGGAGTCTTACCACTGCATTTGTACTGTTTCCCATTCAGAAAACCCTTTGATTTCCTACTTTGATTGTTAGAGGTTGTATTTATGTAAATACTAAGTACTTGTAACATGAAAACAAATTCCTTGTCCTGCCAGAATGGAATAATGTGAATCACAAAAGGACATATTATGGAAAAATGTAAGATATGCTGGTCAGATCCTTGAACAGGAGTCCGCTCAGTCTTTTCACAATCTTTGTTCCAGAAAAGCAGCCTCAAAACAGACATTCTTTTTAAATATTAAGCCTTCTAATTTTACCTTAAACCCTGTCCTCATTGCACCAAAGCCCTGACATTTTTCTTGCCTTAACCCCAGAATGCCACCCTTAACTTCTCCCAAGCCCCTGAATAAAGCAGCCTTACTAGCAAAACAGGTATGAAAGTAGAATTTCCCCCCTTATTCTGAAACCACAGTCTTAAAGTATCTGAAGCCTGTTATACTTCAATACCTGTTGCTTCATTATTAGTAGTAGATGTAATCAAAGACGTCTTTTGCTCTGTATTTTTGGAGTTTCCTTTCTTTCTCACCACACCCCTCTCCCAGTCCCCCACAATTCTGAAAACTTCTTCCAGGTTTCCAACAAAGTTGAGAACAGCAAAATGAACTTTACTTATTTCATGGGGTATGGGGTGGGTGGGGAGGAAATGATGCTAAGCCACCTCAATCATATTCACAAATGAATCTTTAATTGGAGGCTAGAATTAAAATGCAGGCAGCCTTTCCTCACTGCCTCCACTGGCACTACCTATCTGAAGAATGACAGCAGGTTTTGCTTCTATTCTCTCTGAGATTATTTTCCCCCTAGTATGTTCCCATATTTTTTAATATCTCATGATTTTAATTGGAGAGATGCCCAATGGCATGTGGAAAGAGGAGTAGGCTCACCAACTTAGAGAATTCCAGATAAAGCCTTAAAGTCAGACTTACCCCATTCCTTCTGCAGTGCCCTCCTTCGTGAATGTTTTCCCATTGGATGATGATAGACTGAAAGGAGAAGGCAACACAACCAGAAGAGAAAACCAACTGTCTTGTTTATAATCATTGCCACATTGTCCATCTACTACAAGACCATTTGCGGACAGATACCATTTGGGACAGATACACTAGAGGCAACACAGGCTTTCACAATGGAAATGCAATGCAACTGTTATGTTGGCATTGTTTTGTGCTGATTCAAGGAATAGTAAGAAGCACTTTAATCCAATACTGTGGGAAGTCTTTCTTCCTTATTTCCTTGTTTTTCCCTCTTTTAGAACGTTATTTAGTGGCTCTGGATTAACTGCACTTTTATGCAATGCTCCAGCTACAAATACACAGCTGCAAAGTAAAGCATAATAAAGAGTGTAGGATCACATTGCTTCTGGAGTGTAACAATGTCCACTGATCTCTCATCATGTTCTTTTTCCCCATTCAAGTAAAACAATGGGACTACTTCCTGTCTGTCTTATATGTAATGTAAATGATAGAGCACCTTTCATATTACAAGGATTATTTAAAATAAAGTTTAACTTCCTGAATCTCTTGAATAAGGTGGGTGTTTCCTTTACAGAATGGCCAAGTTGATCTAGTATTGAAGAGAATATATGTAACTTCATAACAATCAAATAAAATAATAAATTGCCAACTCAAAAAATAAAAAATCCATTTAACCTTTTTCTTTAAAAAAAATCTTTCTTGTAAATTTATAGTGTCTGCCATTTCTTGTGGATATATTTGGAAAGTATTGCTGAGGTAAGGAACATTGGAAAAGCTTCCAGACTGATCTTCCCTCTATCTAGTGCTTTGTCTTTGTCCATAAAATGCAGATATTAGCCAGCTAGAATCAAGAATAAAAAATGCAGAAATGAAAGGTGGACATTCTGTGGTTCACAATGATTGGTGGTCTGCATAAATCATCTTAATTAGTCATGCTGTTTAAGAAGCTACTAGAAGCTAGAATTCAGCAAGTTCTGGAGGGCACAGTTTACCCATCCCTGTTTTGAATAAGGCTTCATCAGCTGTTATCTCCAGAAATCTTAGCCAAAACTCTGGTTATCTGCATTTGCCATTCTGGCTGGAGGATTATGGAAGTTGAAACCTATTACATCTGGAAGTCATAAATATATATTACAAAGTTTGAAAGACTAAAATTACAAAGCTTGGACTCTAAGTAGAGGGGGGGGGGAGAAACATCATTTTTCTAACCTGAATATTAATAACTGTCTAGAAAATGTTTAAATATTAGCCTAGTTTTACCAGCAACATTTTGCTCAACATCTTACCTGCAGATTAGATTAAATCCAACTCCTCAATGAGTTAAATAAGATTTGTATAACTCACACTAAAGTTCATATGTATGTTCAGAACTGTGGCTTTAATCAATAACCATCACAGAAGAGTGGTTTCCCTTAAACATTTGTGCCAATTTGTTGTAATGAGGTACACACACACAAAGGCTTTTTGAAACAAACTTGAAAGATTAAATACCTTATATCTCAGGTACAGATATATTTCTCAGTGCAGATAAGATACCTTTATCTTTAACACTCCTGCCCCATAGCTATGATGCTTAAATATCTGCTATTAGGAAATGTCTTTATTCAAAGGTATGTTGATGGTGAGATCTGAGGATTCTAATATACCTGAGTGATACCGATTGGGGTATATCCTTACTAGGTATCTATAAACAAAAAAAAAAAAAAAAAAACATGGCTACTTCCTGGGCTATGGTGTTAGAACTATCCTTTCTTGAACTATACATTCCTTATTTATGTTTTATACCTAATAATCCTCCCTCCTCCTATTTTCCTCACATCAGCTTTGTGAGGTGGGTTAAGCTGTGAGAGAATGACTTGTCCAAAGTCACCTAGCCAGCTTTCATGCCTAAGGCAGGATTAGAATTCTCAGTCTCCTGGTTTCCAGCCTGGTGGCTTAACCACTAGACCAAACTGGCTTTCATACTAAAGTACAAGAATCCCAGTTGATCAGATGTGAACTTCATATGGTAATGAATAATGTAATCTGCTTCTTCCCTTTCAGCCTAGTGCATAAGGAATGCATTGGAAATGCAAAACACAGAAGCATGTATTGAAAGATTCACACAACCGGGGAGGCTGCATATGAAATGTTCTTGCTTGCCTAAAGAGGAATAGAGAATGTGATCGATATATTGCAGTTGAATGTTTAGCACTGAAGCCAGCCTCTGAAAGGATAATTAATAGGAGGGCCCAGAGTGACAGAGACTTTGCCTTGGGGACACAACAGAATACAGGCTCATGAAATTGACTAGCTCTGTCTGGAAAAAGACAGGAAGATTCCCTCTTTTATTTTTCTTAAAGGGCTGTGAAGCTGATTAAGCCAATTCTGGAAAAATGTGCTGGATATCTCATCACATCTTCTTTTGAAGGATTTCAAATAATGCAGTAAGATCTCTTAGATAGCTTCCAGGATATAAGGCCTTGCTGTTAACACTTTTCAATTTGAAGTGGAAGCTGTCAATTACCTGCTGAGCTGTGAGTCAGTCCTCCACCCCACCCCACCCAGACTGGAAAGAGAGCTGTTGACCTCCCAAGCCTGGCCGAGCCTCTTTCATTTCCTCCTTCTTTCTTATGACATATTGCCTCCCCTGCCCTATGAGCCACCCTTGCCTCCCCCACACCAAGAGGGTGTGCTTGCATAGGATTAATCAGATCCTTTATCTTGTGAATTATCACTATATATATTTGAACCATTGCAATAGGTCATCTTTTGCTTCAATCTGGCTTCTTTCCCTGTCTTCTAAAACCAGAGTGAGAGGACATTCTTTAAAGAAAAACAGATAAATCTCAACATCCCTCAGTCTGAAATGTTGGTGTGTTAGTTCAGCTACAAATATTTAAGCCTTAAATGCAGAAATACAAATTTTAGGTTTGCCAACTGCTTGATTTTTTTTTCTTTGTAAACAACCGACCTCTGCCATTTAAATATGTCATTTATTCTCCAGAGTCAAAGCAGCTCTAGGATGAATGGAGAAATACCACCAAGCTCATTTTCTTGCAAATTAAGTCTGAATATTCCAAAATAAAGCCATTTATCTGTAATTTACCTGGAAATAAAATCTATTAATCTCCTTGGGAATGAACTTTCTGAAACATCACAATCAATACAATAATTTTAAAGCAGACTCTTCTTGTGGGTGTTGGATCAAGCTCACTGTTATTCAGAGAAAAAGATTACATGACAGTCGGTATAATATTTTGGAGAGCCATGTATTTAGTTATGCCTATCTGCCTTCCACATCTAGCAACAGATTTGCAAAGGCCCTCCTGTTTGTTCCTTCGTTCCAGATGAAATTTTACTGCCAACTTCTCTCCAGCAAGTCGCCTGCTAACTCCGGAGCCGTTCCGCGGGAAATGCGGAGATGATGCGTTTCCTCTCTCGACCCCCCGCCACAGCTGCTGCTGCTGTTGCTGGATGCTTGCCTTCGGACCCTTTCGCCAATGTTCTGGAGATCTAACCGGATCTGTACACTCCGCGATTCTTCACCCATCGCTTCGCCCGCCTCCCCATCGACCACCCCGATGCTTCTCTGACGGCGAACGCCACGTAGGCTGTGCAGCCTATAAATCATTTCCATTATGTTCAGCTGACAGCGCGAGGCGATTAATTTTAATAGCTGTATATTTGCCTGGCTCGCCTAATGCCCGGTAATGAGATGAGAAGTCATCCAACCCCAGATGGCTCCCTCTTTCGAGGGAGACGGGAGAAGAAATGGCAAGCTGGCCGGTCTGTCGTGGGCACTGACTCTTCTTAGCAGGAGCAATTGCAGCGTCGGGCCCTGCAGCGTCTTGGGCCTTTGAATCCCACACCCGCGCCTTTCTTTCTCAGTGTCCGGCCCATTTCCTGCCCTCGGCGTGTGAGGTCTCGGCGGCCGGCAAACCCGGTTCCTTCCTCGGCTTTGAGACCTTGGAAGAAATAAAGGGTGGATGGCTACGAGGTCGCATTTTCCTTCTGGGAGCGATGTAACTTTTGCGCTGCGGTCTGTACACCAGCCTAAGCCTTGTCGTTAGGGGCGGGAGGGGATCGTGGATCCCAGCCCGTCCGATTAACCTAAATATCCCGACCTCCAGGCTAAGAGGCGAGAGATTTCGCCTCCTCGAGCGCGTGGCGGGGAAGGCTGCAAAGAGCGGGCGCTTCTGCAGGAGCTGCTGCTGCTGCTGCCCTTGTTTCGGAGCGTTCAAAGGGCGCGCGCGAGGGTGCACGCGCTTTGTGCGGGGGCTGGGAATAAACAGGCCGCGGCCGTTCCTCGGGGGGCTGAGGGGGAGGGGCATCCTCGCCGGCTCTTTCGCTCCTACGATTGACAAAAGCCGAACTGAAGAGGGAAGCTCGCTGGATCAGCACTGCGGGAAGGAGGGCGATGGGGGAGGGACGAGCAGGGGCGCCCTGGAGGGCGACTTCTAGCTCCGCGGTGTGTGGGGAGGGGGGCGGACTTCATGACCTCCAGCCCCGAGCAGGCTGTTCCTCCCTTTGCCTCCGGAGCCAGGAGGGCTGGGTTTGAGGCGGCAGCGAGAGAGCACCTGTGTCTTTCTCTCTTCCCGCCTCCTTCCTCCTCCAACCCCCCCCCCCAACTACACAATACTAATTACAGCAGGTAATTGCGTTTCTCTGGAAGATCACTTGAAGTCCTAGGCTGTGCGTGTTTCCCTTTTATCCTTTATCAGTTGGCGCTTTCGGGTTCTCCCTCGACTCCGGGCTCTGGGCTGTGTTTTAAATATACATGGGCGGTGGAGGTGGAGGGGTCTCCCTATAAGGCTACGGTCGACGCAGAAGGGCTATAACCTCTTTTTTTTCTCTGCCAACGTTGAGGTAGACGCGGAGGGAAAACGCAATAAATAAATCTCCGACCAGCGGATTCTGCCTTAATTCTCAGCAGCAGAAAAAGAAGAAGAAGAAATAGAAAGGCGGAGGGCAAACAGAGTTTGAGAAGAAGCGGGTGTCTTTTTATTGCTAGAAAATAAAAACAAATACAGTACAGACCGTGCCCCCTACTCTGAAAGGTTGGCTCAGAGAGCCTGCCAGGAGTCCCAGATGAGCGCAAGCCCTTTCCGGGTTGTTTCTTAAAGCACGGGACGGCAGAGGAGAGAAATGCGAGGAGATGGATCTG